AAAATCAGCTAAATTATGGGTTGGGCCAGGACTTGATAAGTTCAGGAAATGCTCTAATTGAAGCCAACCTACCGTTTACTTTGAGCTCAATTATCTAAGTTCCTGTGACAGATATCGAAAACTTGTTAACTGATAAAGTATTGGTGATATTATGATAAATATTTTATCAGTTGATCATTTGTTGATATCTTTTACAGGAACCAAGACAAATTGACTCAAAATTGGAAGTTATTCTACTAGAGTGTTTACAGAATGTGCTACAGTAATCTGTAGAATCGGGATACTTTTTCAAAGCAACCGCTCACGGAATTTTTTTAATTAAGAACAAAATTCAAGTTTGTTCAGTCTCAGTCAAGTTCTTGATCCACCACAAGACCGTCGGTGACGTAAGAGCACTTACAGTAACCCCATGTCTCAAACCCAATTTGAGTCATAGATCATCACACAAACAGAGTTCCATAGTTTCTGGTGCTGTAACCCCTCTCCACAAACACGTGTACACTATAATTAAAGAGGATAATCTACACAGTTTCAGGGCGAAAGAACCGATTATAGTTTCAGAGAAACCTCGGAAACTGCTTCACGTGGAAACTATGTCGTCTCTCACGAAAATTCCAAGTTCGGAGCACACGAAAGTTGAGCGTACGCGTGCAAATCACCGAATTCCTGAAGTTTTTGTTTATGCAGATAAGGGAATCGAAGCTCCGCCCATTATGTGCTTTTGATCTACGAATTTGTGGTTTGAGTAAATGGAAATGTTAGAAGTTGCGTCACGATTTGAAAGTTTACTGAAAACAACTGTAAGAGGCAAAGGACAGGGCTAAAAATATCAAGTTTTGATCTTTTGGAAATGGTTTTTTTCAATCTGATAACATTTTGGAAAGAGTCTGAGTGTGATAAATTTTAAGTTTTCAAGCCAATTCTTTTTTTTTCAGCAATCAGACTGTAACTTTCATAACCTATTTCCCCAAAAATTCTAGTTAATTCTGACTTTATCTCGTTCAAACAGACACAAAGATCATTAATCAAATAAAGCACGCCAAAACTATTTTTGTGGCTTTCAGTCACAGTTTTCAGAATTAGCCTTGAATACCAGAAAACCTGTTTTAAAATTAAATTATGATTTTTGAGGGTCAAAATTGACAACCAAAATCAACAAAACTACAAGTTCGAAGATACAAACCAAACACTCTTCCTGACCATCTGACCAGTTTTGATAACAATTTCCAAGGTTACTGTCACCAGGCATACATGTCACGGGCCCTATCGGATTGTGTCCAAATTTGAAATTTTGAAATTTCGAAGTTAGCAAAAGTTCAGATCATCCGAATCTTTATTGTTAATCTTACAAAAATCAGCTACCCGACCGGACTTGACCAGTCCTCTTAATTTCCAAGTTGGCAAGATAAGGATATGAATATTAGCGAAGTCCTCGTGGATCTATTACTACCTCTCTCTCTCTCTCTCTCTCTCTCTCTCTCCCCGATCGGTCATTTTTCAGGTCTCAAAACTCGAAGACACCTTTCTTAGCGCTTTTTCAAACTAGTTATTATTGAGCTCAAAAATTTCAGATAAGCCATCAAATGTTAAATTTCATCTAGATCATTTTTGCAGTTGAGCATTTTCTCAGCTTTACTCGTTTTTGAGAGTTTTACTCTTTTTTGAGGCCATTCGAAATGAGCAGACGAAGGAGAGAGTGCAGATAATCGAAGAACTCTCGTCTCCCTGCTCTCTCTCTCTCTCTCTCTCTCTCTCTCCCTCTCACTAGATCAAAAGATCGCTTCCCCAAATTGGCGAGTTTCGGTAATTCCTCTCCAGGAAAAAATCATAATACGAAAAAACTTTGTGCTCTTTTTCTTTATCATTGTCACCCCGGTTTCTACTCTCCCAAGAAAACAATATATTCATCTTTTGGTCTCTCTCTCGCTGACCAGTTACTGACGTTTCTAGACCAGAAAACAACCGTATTCCCTTTTTTCTGCAAACTGCCGAGGAGAAGGTCATTAAAAATTCACCCCCCTGTGATACTGATGTTTGGATCTGAAACGAAATGGACAAGAGAGTTTAGCTAAGTATGGCTCTCAAGTTTTAGGATTAATGTGTATGTCTGTGTGTCCGAATGTCCGTTTTTGAGCCTTGGAAAACTGAAAAAAAACTTGACAGTTTTTCAAAAGGAGGGTTGATTTTCCAAAATTTCCAAAAAGACGGTAACTGCTCTTATAACCGCCCAACCTGTCAGCTTTGAGCCCAGATATCTCGATTCCTGTCAAAGGTATCAAAAATCTGTCCACTGATAAAATATAGGTGATATTATGATAAATAATTTGTTCTAGTGTAGCTAATTTATATATGAATTTCAATTTACTAATTTATTGTACAGTATCTCAAATTACAAATTTTTAAATCTCAAACCACTCGACCTCGTTTTTCTACAATTTTTTATTTTGATTCTAACATACAAAAAGTGCAATTCTGCACTTTTCCTCTGGTACGGGAGTAGCAAACAAAGTGATTCACCGAGTCTTATCACTAGTAGGTCAGTTTTCGAATTATCACCATTTCCCATAAAAAAATACAAAGGAATTCGTAATGAAGTGATGAGCGCATCAGCACAGAGATTGAATACTTGATATGATCTAGATTGTTTTTCTAAACTAAGGCCGAATACCGTACAACCTGTATTAGAGGGCCCCTTCAATTAATGAGGCCGTTCTAATACAGGTTTTACGGTATTTGAAATTCCGACCAAAATTTGACCATGGCCCGCTATACAGCCGTTCTTGGGGAAGTTTCGAGCAAAATAGACGTATAACTTCATAGTATGAACATCTACTACAGTATGATAAGGCGGGCAGTCAAATTTCTCATCTACGATTTCAATTTCGCCTCAACTCTAGCGGAAACGGAGATCTGCTACAAGATCACTAGACTGACATTTCTCAAAAAAATTGTGTTCTGGACTAATAAAAACTAGACTTTCATATTCGGAAAAGTTAAATGTTCGAAAACCCCTGCACTTGAGGTATGGTTCCAGATTATAGACAATAATCATACCTACTTTCACTCTCTCTCTCTTTTTTCACTTTTATCAAATGTCATCAAAGACCTACACTTCGATCATTTGATACCACTCCAGATTCCACTTGGTACAGAACACATAACGGGTCGTCGGAGCTCTTCTTCTGAAACTCACAGTGTGTTTCGTTGCCCCGGCTGATAACTGACACCACGCGCTTACGCGTCTGGCATTCCAGAGGCTAATTAGGCCCCGCCCACTTTTGGTTGACCCGCCCTTTGTAGTGGGTGGAGTGAGAGAGAATAGGAAAGTTAATGAGGAGTACGGTAGTTAGGGTATAAAACGGAAATTTTGAAGGTTTTAGGGTGAGCGAGGCCTATTAAGCGTTCGGTTTTGTTGTATTTTTTGTTGATTACCCTAAAACCTGTAATAAAAGGATTTTTAATCTGCCCGATTTGAGCTCAATTATCTGATTTCTTATTCAAGATATCAGAAATGTGTAAACTATCAAAGTTGACAACTGTTTTATATCTTTGACAGAAATCGCTTAAAGTTAGGGGTGCCCTTCTATTACGGGTCTTACGTTAAACCATCTTGTTAGACTAATTTTTTTGAAGTCAGCAAAGTTTGATCTATTTTTTGATAAACTTTTAAATCTCACGAATTTTCGCAAACTGTGAAAGTAGTAAGTACTGTAGTTATGGATTTTTTGAACGAAGATTTCGGCGTTATTCCTCAGAAACTCAATTTTCGCGGCAAGTTGAAAATTGCCCTACTAGTTTCATAGGTTTATGGCAGAAATGGGACCACCGTCACAAATTTCGCCATAATTTCTGCCCAGCCTTTATCTGGTGCTGAATGACTTGCCTATCTTATGGACAAGGAGCTTCGATGATCTATGGGGGTCTAGTTTGCTCTTAATCTTTGGGACATCTTTCCTTTACTTACAGTAACTATTTGGATTGTTATGTTTTCTAGATCGTCAAACTCCGAAGCTTCAATAAACATTGTTGAAAAACTACCGTAGTGTCACTAAAATTCCCTGACCGTCCACTTTGAGCCAATTTTTCTCGGCTCCTGTGAAAGGTATCCAAAATCTGTCAACTGATAAAATATTAGTGACATTATGATAAATAATTTATCAGTTGACAACTTTTCGATATCTTTCACAGGAACCAAGATAATTGAGCTCAAAGTTGAACATTCATGAGGCACATCTGGTAGAGATGCTCCTTCCTCAAATAAAAATTAATTTTACACTTCCACGAACACCTAGACCATCCGCCGTCTCCTCGTATTTTCGACAGACATCAAAAGTCCAAATTTCTCAAAAGTGAACCCCGGTAACAAACACGTGATTCATTCGGGGCCCATCCCAATTAATCTGCAAATCAATCCCCCCTTTGTCGAAGTTTAATGAATTGGATGAGGAATTTATTTACTTTTTTACCTACTTCTCTTTGGGGTAGAAATCGAAGAATCGGAGAAAGTAAAACCGGGTTCAAAGGGCAAATTATGTAAATATTTGTGATGTTAGAGAGGTGAAGCAGAGAAGGGGAGATGATAATAACTAATAATAAGCCGATCGTTTGCTTAGGAGAAGATTCACCCAGTCGTGTTACTGTTCTTCGGCAACATTCCTGCGCAGTACTATGTCTCCTTTTTGGCATTGAAGTTTTGTGACTTTATACCGAGTTACAGTACCACAAGAAGCAACTTTTTTTTGGACCGGGCATACTGTAATCGCTCTAATAAAACCCCACCTTATACGCCTATTTTGAGCTAAATTATCTCGATTCTTTTAAAAGATATCGAAAATCTGTCAACTGATAAAATATTGGTTATGTTATGATAAATTTTTTATCAGTTGACAGATTTTTGATATCTTTAATGGGAAATGAGATATATAAGCTCAAATTTGGCAGTGTGAGGTCATTGTTGACGGTAGTTAACACAAACGGTCCCAACCTCAACTATTGGAAGGATGGCTAACATCTTCCTCACAATCAGTGCTATCAGAAAAGGAAAATGTCTGAAAGTTCCATCTTATACCGAGAACATTGTCTTCTTGACAATTTTAGTATGGAAAATGATTTTTTGAGCCCTGTTATAAAATTTTAAGACATTTTTCATGTGAGTAATACGATACATAAACTTTCATGACGATTTTTTAAACTCTAGATAATGAGAAATAAAAATTTTGATTTGGTTCAGTTCTGGGTTTCTTAATGATTTCTTTCTGTTTTGTTTCTGGTTTTTTTTCTGCATAACACCTACCGTACTTCCTCTAATAGGAGCTCCCAACTTTGAGCACAATTATCTCGATTCCTGTGAAAGCTATCAAAAAGTTGTCAACTGATAAATTATTTATAAAATTATCCGCAAAATTTAATCAGTTGACAAAATTTTGATATCTGTTACAGGAAGCAAGATATATAGACTTAAAGTTGAAGGTTTGAGGGCGTTCCAAATAGTGTTTGATTTACCGTAAACACTAATCACTCGAACCATCAATTTCTTAAAGCGAAGATATCTTATTTTCTGTGAAAGATAGCAAAAATCTGTCAACGGATAAAATGTTGCTGATATTATGACGAACATTTTATCAGTTGATAACTTTTTGATATATTTTACAGGAACCGAGATATATGGGCTCAAACTTTACAGTTTGGTTAGTCCGGGTTTCTCAATGATTTTGGAGAAACTTTTGACCCTGATTTTTTTTTGCTTGGTCTTGGTTTTTTTTCTGCATGACTCATATTTTTCGAACCCATAATTTCGAAAAGGACCAGAAAGTTTTTCAGTTCGTCCAAAATTGCGATTCCACGGTATTTTGTGTACTCCGAGATTCTCGCATCCCGTGAAGAAGACTAACCGGCGATGAAATGGATGCAAAAGTTGTGTAGGCCCTCAGTGTCGGCGTTCGGAGATGAAAGTAAAGTAGCGGACGTGACTCCGAAAATGCGTCGTTCATTGAAACTTATGGCAAGACGAGTTAAGGAATCAGTGAATTGAATTTACAAGCTTTTCAGGTAAAATTCGCAAAATCATCAGATCTTATATTCATAATAACTGCTCTAATTTGTGCATTATTGGGTGGAACCATTCAGCCGACTGTTTTATTAATCGGAGGATGGATCACAGATTTATATTTAACTAATGGAAATGTAAGTGAATTTTTGGAAAAAGATTCTCAGTTCAAAAACAATTTTTAGACAGTAGGGAACGACGAGTTCTTCGATTCAGTACTATCTTTAATCTACGCCGGACTCGGCTTTGGTGTCATAACATTGGTGCTCGCTCTGGTTCAAGGAATATGTATACAGAGAGGGACGAGTCGAATTTTGAGTAATCTTCGCAAAGAATTCTTGGGAGCTATTTTGAGGCAAGATGCTAATTGGTTGGATCAGAACCCATCTGGAAGTATTACTTGTCAATTGAATGAGTAGGTTTTTTTTTCCATTTGATTGGAAAAGCAAAGATAACATTTCAGGAATATCGAAATCATATCCGATGGACTTGGAAACAAATGCTGCATGCTGGTTCGAGGGTTCGCCATGTTCACTTCATCGATTATTGCCTGTTCCTTCATCAATTGGCAATTGACTTTCATCACTTTTACAATGGGACCAGTCTCAGCTTTTGTCTTGCATTTGTTGACCAAGGTAAGTTGGACAACTTTGACTTAATTTATCTTGGTTCTTGTCAAAGATATCAAAAGGTGATAAATTAAAAAAATGTGTCTGATGTACTGATAAACAATTGTCTAGTTTATCACTTCCTGATATATTTAGCAGGAACCGAGATAAATTAATTAGTGGTTGCTCTTCTATTACATGGTGGCGCATAATTACTAAAGTTTAAACTAGCATAAATTTCTAGTAAAACATTGTACTGGGCAGAAATTTGGAATACAAGCATTCCAATCATTCATCAGTAAACTGGCCAAGTTTCAAGCTACTCGATCAACTTCGAGCTGAATTATCGCTTGCCAAAGTTACTTCGTCTCATGAAAATCCCAACGGCGTGCTTGCAGAGCTATTTTTGAAAAGAAAATGTGAAACATAACATCTTTCTGTAGATTTTTTTAATTTTACAATGCCTGAGCTTCCAATTGGTCCAAAAATCAACTCTCTAGCTGCCCTGGGAGCTGAGATATGCGCGTTTGAAGCTCTCCTGTATGCGTCTCTTCAGGGCGGTTAGAGACGCAGTGTGTCTCGTTGTCTGCGTCTCTCACCTTGCCAACTTCAAGAGGCTATATCTCAGCTCCTAGAGATGCTAGAAACCCGATCCTTTCATAACTTTTTGTCAATTTTTTAATATATTTTTGAAATTACCGTATTCTCTTTTCTATGCGTAGTTATTGCTTGTAGGATTTCGATATTTGAACAATCATAACAATACCTAGACTTTTGGGATCGCTGCGAAAATTTCAGTAGCTTTGAATACATGTCTTGATCAGTTCATCAGTCTGTGCCACCCTGTAATAACGGACAACATTCCAAATCATATAGGCCGAAATCACTTTTTCAAAAAAAAAATCATTATTTTCCAGGTTAACGAACTAACAAACACTGTATTGATGACACTAACCACACAATCCCATGCAATAATCGAAGAATCAATTCTAAACGTGCGAACTGTTCAAGCATGCAACGGACAGAATTTCATGATCCGGAAACTCAAAAACGTCAATGAAGAGATCAAAAAGTTTTACAACAAGAGCACATTTTGGGCTGGGTTCTTCGATGGGCTCGCTCTTTTTGTCATCTATTTCATCACCGGAATTTCACTTTTGTAAGTTTCAAAATCGGTCTTCAGTTGACCGTGAAATCTGAGATAGATGGGACCCGTCAAGTTTGAACTCAATTATCTCGGCAATTATCTCGGCTCTTGAAGATATCAAAAATGCGCCAAATGACAAAATACTTCTTCTATTATGATAAACAATGTATCAATTTATAATTTTTTGATATCTGACAGGATCGGAGATAAAATGAATCAAAGTTTATAGTCAATGAGCCGTTCTAATACAGGTTTTACAGTAACTATTTTTATTCCAGCTTCGGTTGCCGTTTATACTTCGAAGGGCAGATCAAAAAAGCTGGAGACGTGATTCTGATTGTCAATACAATTTGTGTTACCGGATACTTTTTGGGACTCCTTGGACCTCATATGTCTTCGCTTCAAAGAGCCGCTGCTTCATTTCAATTGTTGTATAAAACAATATCATCTGCTCCGAAGCCAGGAGAGAAGAATGGAGAATCCAGAACTTTTTCGCCGAAAGGACATATCGAATTTAAAGATGTCAGATTCAAGTATGCAACTAGAGATAAGGAGGTTCTACAGGTACGGTTCTGATCGTCTTACAGAACGTTTTAACGGTACATTTCAGGGTCTATCCCTGGAAGTGTTACCCGGCCAGACTATTGCTCTCGTCGGTACTAGTGGCTGTGGAAAGAGTACCTCCATTGGACTCCTCACTAAACTTTACCGTGCCAGCGAAGGAGAAATTTTAATCGATGGCCATAACATCGACATGCTGGATGCCAAGGTTTTGAGACAACAAATCGGAGTCGTCCAACAAGAACCAAAACTATTCGATGGAACTATTATGGAGAATATCAAATTGGGAAGAAATGTTGATCAGAAGACCATCGAGACGGCTGCAGAAATTGCGAACGCTTCTAGCTTTATTGAGAAGTTGGAGAATGGATATGAAACTAGATTGGGACCTGGAGGAGTTCAGTTGTCGGGTGGGCAGAAGCAAAGAATCTGCATTGCAAGAGCATTGGTAACGTCTCCATCGATTCTTCTTCTTGATGAGGCTACAAGTGCACTAGACTCTCATAACGAGCATATTGTAAATGTAAGTTTATTCTTGAGCCGATCATGGTGAAATGACACATTTCAGAAAGCTCTTACCAAAGCTTCCGAAGGCCGTACCACGATTATCATTGCTCACCGATTGAGCAGTCTTAAAAACGTTGATAGAATCTACGTCTTGGATCAAGGAAAAACAAAGGAAATCGGAAAACACGATGATCTTGTAGCCCTTGGAGGGATCTATGCAAAACTAGCGAAAAGCCAGGAAGTCGAGCAAAGTTCAAAGAAGGATTGGGAGAGAGAAGAGCTCAGAAGGGCCCAAAAAATGAAGAAGAAGAGCAGAAATGTGGAGATTATCGAGGCAAACTCGACAATTCTTCAGGAGCATGAGCACAATTTTGTTGGATCCATCATCACGGAACACGAAGAAGAGCAGAAGATTTCGTTCAGTGGAATTGGGAAATTGATGAACTATCTTCCGAAACATCCAAAGATGTTGACCCTCATAATTGCACTGTCTGTGCCAAGAGCCATTGAATTGTGCTCCTATGGATTGGGAATGTCATTTGCTTTCAATACCCTTCAGGTGAGATTTTTAGTTTTTCTTTTCAAATTTCGCGGCAGCAAATTTGCCGTAAAATCTGTAATAGAAAGATCCCTTAAATTTTAAGTTTGAACCAATTTATCTCGGCTCCTGTGAAAGATATCAAAAATATGTCAACTGATACATTTTTTGTGGCAGTATGATAAACATTTTGTCAGTAGGTCATTTTATGATATCTATCACAGGAAGTATATGGGCTCAAAGTTGACGTGCTCCCATCAGTATAGGATCACATGCTCCCATCAGAATAGGATCGTGCTCAAAGGGGGCATTCACTGATAGGGTCATTTTGAAGTTGTCTCTTACAAGGTAGGTGTTTTCAGACAATCTTGGAGAATTTCTTGAAAAATTCGCACACATATATTGGTTTAGTGAGACAACTTCAAAATGAGAATGTACCCTTTGAGCACGATGCCCCCTAGGCCTACATACCGTAAAACCTGTATTAGGAGGGCCGGACCTTCTATTTTTCGAAGGGATTTTAACGGGGTACTTCAAATTCAGGAACCCTTCTAATACAGGTTTTACGGTATTTCAAATTTAGAGAACCAAAGACGACTACATGACATGGAACTGGATCACACTTGGGGAACAAACGTTAGCTGGTCTCACTTTTTGGACTCTTCAAGCTTCTTTGGTTTGTGAGACTTTTCTGGAAATCTTAACTCTTTGAAATTCCAGATGTACCTTTGTGGCTATATTGCCAATGAGGTGCTCAACGAGGTAAAGGAATCGGTTCTCGGAGAAGTCCTAAACAAGCCGATTCCATATTTTGATAACCCTGAAACTTCTCCATCAGCATGTGTCACCAAGATCATTTCGCATGCTCATAACTGTTATGCGGTGAGTTTTTACAATTTTTTGCTTCAGAAGCAAATTTTTGGTCCGCTACCGGTTACCGTAAAACCTGCAATTGAAGACCCCTGCTGTCAAGTTTGAGCTCAATTATCTCAATTCCTATGCAAGATATCAAAAATGTGTCAACTGATTAAATGTTGGTTATGAAAAAGAGTTTGTCAGTTGACCACTTTTTGATATCTTTGACAAGTATCGAGATAAAATGTCTCAAAGTTAACAGTTAGGGTGCCCTTCTATTACAGGTATTGCGGTATGTGGCAAAAATTTGCTGAGAGTTTCTTTTCTCCAAAACCAAATAATTTCCAGTGCCTGGACCACCGAGCCAGTCGATTCATCATGTTCATCTCGGGAACCGTGTTCTCCTTGATGCTCGCCTTCCCATTCGTATGGGAACTGGGGCTCTTGGGTCTCGGAATCACAATCCTGCTGACAATCTTCAGTCTTCACTTCCTATGGGTTGCTCACAAAGCCCATAGTGAGAAGTCGAGAATGGATAAGAGTGGAGTGTTCGCTGTGGAGATTGTAGAGCACATCAGATCCATTAAACTCCTGGCTGTAGAAGGATACTTTGAGGATCGATTCGCTGATTATTTGAAGATTTCAGAGTGTTACGAGAACAAGGTGAGAGTATACAATCCATTTAGAATTCCCCTTTTCAATCTTCCAGATTGGACTCTTGTCCTCGCTCAACTTCGCTGTCACCCAATCCTACGTATTTGCTTGTGACATGCTTCTTTTCTTCGTTGGAACTATTCTGATCTACCACGGTCATTACACCCCGGATAAGATTTTCTTGGCTTTCAACGGAGCACAAATGTCGGCTTGGGGAGTGATGTACTTCTCCCCGTGGTTCCCAGAAATCATTCGAGGATCTGCTTCAGCTAATCAAATATTCTCTTTGTTTGATAAGACTAAAAATCCAGAGTTCAATGGAAAAGAAAAGCCAGAAATCCATGGAAGTGTAGAAGTGAACGAAGTAGAGTTTGCCTATCCAGCGACACCACATCGTAATGTCTGTGAAGGATTCTCATTGAATATACCAAAAGGTCATTCGATTGCGTTGGTTGGTGCATCTGGATGTGGAAAGAGTACGATAATTTCATTGCTGGAGAGGTTCTACGCTCCGAAAGCTGGAAAAATAAGCATAGATCAAAATGATATTTCCGCGATCGATGTTAACTATCTTCGTCAGAACATTGCCGTTGTCGGACAGGAACCAGTGCTCTTCAACGCATCGATTCGGGAAAATATCACAATTGGAATGGATGATGTGAATCTGCAAGATGTTCAGAATGCTTGTAAAGTGGCCAATGCAGCCAACTTTATTGAGAGTTTTCCATTGGTAAGTTTAAAAAATAGATATTAACAATTTTGGAACTCTCATAGTCAGTTCAACGCCTGACGACCTAGAGACGTTACCGCGAACACTCCAATAGAAATCCGTCAACTTTGAGTTCAGATATCTGATTTCCTGTGAAAAAAATCAAAAAGTGGTCAAGTAATAAAATGTTGTTGATATTATGATAAACATTTTATCAGTTGAGACATTTTTGGTATCTTTTATGAGAACTGAGATAAATGAGCTCGAAATGCGTGTTACCATCGTCTGCTATTCATACCTTAAGACTTTTTTCCTTCAGGGCTACGATACCCAAGTTGGCGAAGGAGGTGCATCCCTATCCGGAGGTCAAAAACAACGAATCGCCATTGCCCGAGCGATCATCAGAAAACCAAAAATTCTACTCCTCGACGAAGCCACCAGTGCACTAGACACCCAATCTGAGGAAATTGTACAAAAAGCTTTGAGATGTGCGACCACAGGAAGGACAAGTATCATTATAGCTCATCGTTTGAGTACGGTACAACATTGTGATACGTGAGTTTTTAATTATAATTTCTTTATTTTTATTGTCAATTTGAGCTAAATTATCTCGGTTCCTTTAAAATATATCAAACAAGTATCAACTAATGAATTATCTATCACAAGATGACTAATATTCTATCAGTTGATAAATTTTTGTTATCTCTCATAGGAACCGAGATTGAGCTTAAAGTTGACAGTATGGACTTCCATTAGAGAAAGTACCGTATACTTTAATTTTTCCAGAATCTACTACATATCTCGAGGAGCCGTTGCCGAGTATGGAACACATGCTGAACTCGTTGCGATGAATAATAAATATGCTAGATTAGTGGCTGCCCAGAGTATGACTTGATTAGATTTATATTAGCAATTTTGTATATAATAACTCAGTCGGGTTTCACCAGAAACATCTTCGAATAAAGTCCGTTTAGACTTTGATTTTCTTTGAAGGATTTTTTTCACATAATGAACTACAGACACGAAAAAAATTACAAATCTTTGAGCTCAATTATCTCGGTTCTTTCAAAAGATATCAAAAATTTGTCAACTTATAAAATGTAGTTAATTTTAAGAAAAACATTTTATTAGTTGACCACTTTTTGATAGCTTTCAAAGGAACCAAGATAATTGGGCTCAAAGTGCACGTATAAGATGGGCTTCTACAAAATCAATACAAATATCGACCAAAGCTTTAAGTTATCGATATCACTCCGATCAATTTGTTAATTGATAACACCGAAACTTTGTTCTTGTTATTTTGTTCGCAATCAATTTGTCTTTTTTCATGAAGAGGACGTCTAGCATCGGAGATCAATCATATGCCGCGTCTCTATTTTCCCTTCTAGAGATAACGTTTTTTCTACTTCACCCTGTCTCTTTTATTTTTTTTAATGTTGGGGGAAACCCATAAAGTTTCTCAATACCTGTTCTGTTGACAAGCGTTTCGATTTTTTGCCTCAATTATTTTTTTTTGTTTCTGGCTGAAATTTTATAACAAATTGGTCTGTTGTGAGATCTTTGCGGTGGGTAACATTTACTTTTACCTCAAAACACTTTTTTAGTGTTTTACGGTTTTTTTCGGTATCATAAAAGGTCTCGACCAAAAATACACTAAATTTTTAATTACCCTTATTTTCGTTTATTACACCAGAAACACTCAAAAACAGAGTCTTTTTTCTAGGCAGAATAGATGTTTCCTTTTTCTACTTCTCTTTTTCGCCAAAACGTTAGTTTCGTTATCTTCTTATTCATTAGAAAAACTGTCAATCTTCGTTTTTTTCTGTCCTTTCAGACGCAGTACTGTTCAATGACTACACCCCATACGAACACCACCACTCAAAAGAGCGTCATGTATCGAATTCCATCGGAGAGGACTTGTGAGTTTTTACACTACCAACTTTGAGCTCAATTATCTCATTTCCTGTGAAAGATATCAATTTTTGTCAATTGATTACTTATTCATCATAATTTCAGAAACATTATATCAGTTGGCACATTTTTGCTAGCTCTTATAAGAACCGAGATAGTTGAGCTCAAAGTGCACGTATAGGGTGGGCTCCCCTTAGAGGAAATAGGTAATTGCGCTCCTGCTGAATTATCTCGGTTCCTGTGAGATATATCAGAAATCTGTCAACTGATACAATTTTTTCATAAAATTACCCAACATTTTACTAGTTGACAAACTTTTGCTAGCTCTCATAAAAACCGAGATAATTGAGCTCAAACTTAAATTATAGGATGGACTTCTATTAGAGAATTTTCGGTAAATTTGATCAAAGTCTATTATTTGTGGTTTTCCAGCAAAAAGAATCCGAAAGTTCTGGAAAATTTGAAAACTCAAACTGTAAAAATGTTTCTCAAAATGGAATCCGTTAGAGATTACTGTAGAAAAGTAAGAGCAAAAATCAAGTTATTAGAAACTTTTGGACCTACTTACCTTCAAATTTGAGCCAATTTATATCAGTTCCTGTGACAAATATCTAAAATTTGTTATGATGTTGGTGATATTTTGATATGCATTTTATCAGTTGACCACTTTTAGATAATTTTAAAAGAACCGAGATAACTGAGCTCAATTTTGGTATGCTTGAAATTCGAAACTTAAATATTCAGTGGAAAGTCTTCACGAGATGATTGGGTCCCGAATGTCCAAGATGTCTCTTAAAAACACACTTCGTGGAATTTCGAATCCCTATGAAAGAGATGAATCCGAAGGAAGTGAGGATATGATTTTCGAGTTGTTCAAAATTCCCAACAAAAATGAAGCATCAATTGGAAAACTATTGACGGTTCTCCGTCAACTCGGTCTTCGTGACGATGATCCTCGTTTAGTCCCAATGATGGAAAAGATCAGGGATTTCGAAAAAATCGCAGAGGAGAAAATTGCGGAAGCCAAAGAGCAAAAACATTGGAAACTGACCAAGGAGCAGTTTAAGGAGTAAGACTAGTCAAAATGCAAATATGCCCTATTAAAAATTTTCAGGTGCATCGCTCCAAGCATCGACATTGTGTCCCGTGCACTTCAAACCGATATGGTGATTCCGAATTGGATAAATTTTGTGGAGAAGATCAGAAATATCTATAACGAGTGTAAAGAAATAAAAGACGGGCAGGTGGCAACCTATATTCCACAATTGGCAAGACAGTCACCGCACTTGTGGGCTGTTTCGTTGTGCACTGTTGATGGGCAGAGGGTATGGAGCACATTTGCTTCTGGAATATTCTAGAAAAGCGTTTCAGGCCTCATTTGGAGATGTCAAGCACAACTTCTGTGTTCAATCTGTGTCCAAGGCATTCAACTATGCCATCGTGGCATCTGATATCGGAGCAGATGTGGTGCATTCCTATGTTGGACAAGAGCCAAGTGGACGACTATTCAATGAGATTTGTTTGGATTCTACTAGTGAGTTTCATTTATTTGACTATCTCACAAAAAAGCTAGAAATTTGTATATTTTTGCATACTGGTTTTTTATTAAATTGCGCATCGGTTCAGCTCTCTTTTGGTCTAAACATCAAGTTTCTAGGACCTCTAGAAGCCGAGATACAGCCGCTAAAGGTTTTGAGAGACACAGACGGTTAGAGTGTCTTGTTGTCTGCGTCTCTCACTTTCAAAACATCAAATCGCTGTAGCTCGGTTACCAGACGGCTTAGAAAACTGATTATTTGCAGAATACAATGAAATATTGCCCAGAATAATATAGTGCACAGAGTTCCAAAAGGCCTGGTCAAAGATCGCGCCTCATTGTCAGAACTCGCAATTATTTCAGACAAAGATTTTTGGAACCCTGTGCAAACCAGTTTCCAAAATGAACTTTTTAGAAAAATTCAAAAAATCTAGTTCTCCAATAAACGAACATTTCCAGACAAACCCCATAATCCGATGGTCAACTCTGGAGCAATCGTTATCACCTCACTGATCAAAAACAAGACCAACATGGCTGATCGCTTCGATTTCGTCCTCAACCAGTACCGTAAAATCGCCGGAAACGAGTACATCGGATTCAACAATGCCACGTTCCTATCAGAAAGAGCTACAGCTGACAGAAATTATGCGTTGTCGTATTTTATGAAAGAGAATAGATGTTTCCCGAAAGAGGTAAGAGAAAATATAAGAGGACTTCCCCTTATAGAAGCTCACCCAACCCGTCAATTTTGAGCTCCATTTGATTTCTGTTAAAGATATCGAAAAATTGTCAATTTTTGAAATATTCGTGATGTTATCTTTACCATTAACAATCACCGAAATCTGTGTGTGTGTGCGCGCGCCAATTTGTTGCCAGGTCGCCGACTCTAGCGAAGTCATCAATGGACCAAAATTTCTCAAATTTCCACAGATAATCCGAAATACCAGCAAGATAATGCCAGAATTTTTATTTTTTCGAAATCTTGATTTTGAATAATTTATCAGATGAATAATTTATCAGTTGAGAGATTTTTGGTATCTCTCATAGAGACGGAGATAATTTAGCTCAAAGTTGATGGTTTGAGCAAGCTTCTACTGTATCAAAAGAGATACGGTATCATTAGATCCTTAAAATTTTCCAGACAGAATCCCTTACCGATGCTCTTGACTTCTATTTCCAATTGTGCTCCGTAGAGGTGACATGTGAATCGTTAGCTGTGATGGCGTCCACTCTAGCCAATGGAGGAGTCTGCCCAATCACTAATGAGACGTGTATTGCTCCGAATCCATGTCGGGATGTGCTCTCGTTGATGTACTCCTGTGGAATGTATGATGCATCTGGACAGTTTTCGTTCAATGTTAGAATCTCTAATTTTCTAAAAAAATTATTTAAAAAATTGCAGGTCGGCCTCCCAGCAAAATCTGGAGTGTCTGGCGCGATGATTGTCGTGGTACCTAATGTGATGGGTCTTTGTCTATTCTCCCCGCCATTGGATACCCTTGGAAACAGTTGCAGAGGAGTTGCGTTTTGCAAGAAACTTGTGTCCACGTTCAACTTCCACAATTACGATTGTTTGGTGCATAACTCAAATATGAAGAGTGATCCGAGACGGTAAGCAGTATCTATCAGTATCGAAGATGTATAGAATCTGAGTTTTGCAGACGAGACATAAGAGAACGAGATCGTCTGATTCCTGTATTCCATGTGGCGCGTGCTGGAGATCTCCCAACGATGAGAAGACTCTACATGCAGGGAGAGGATCTGAACACTTCGGATCATGACGATCGAACAGTTTTACACATCGCCGCTACAGAAGGATATGAAACCATGATCAAGTTCTTGGTCAATGTGGCAAAAGTTGATGTGGAGAAAAAAGATCGATGGGGGAAAAATGCGTTGGATGAGGCAAAGTTCTTTGAGCACACCGGGGTGGCGAGGTTTTTGGAGAAGGCTATGAAGAGGGTAAGACTTTGAGATTCTGAGATTCTGGGGTTTTGAGATTCTGAGATTCTGGGGTTTTGAGATACTGAGATTTTGAGATTCTGAGATTCTGAGATTCTGGGGTTTTGAGATTCTGAGATTCTGGGGTTTTGAGATACTGAGATTTTGAGATTCTGAGATTCTAAGATTCTGAGATTTTGAGATTCTGAGATTCTGAGATTTTGAGATCCTGAGATTCTGAGATTTTGAGATCCTGAGACTCTGATATCCCGAGACTCTGAGATCCCGAGATCCTGAAATTCTGAGATTCGACAAAAAATATATAAATCATCAATTTTCAGCCAGAACAACACCGCAAAGATTCGGTCTCCTCGCTGGACACAGACGACGAAATCGACGATGACGGATTCCCAGAAAAGCCATGTTTTACTATTGAATAGGCAATTTTCTTAACATTTTACAGCCGCTGATTGCATATTTCTCTCATTCTTCATTTCAAAAAAAAACAAACAAAGACATAAAATTGTTACTACTCCCATAGATCTTTTTATGTTTCTCTTTTCCTGGTTGCCCAAAGATCAAAATGTGTCAACTGGAATTTTTAGAAAATAGATGGATATAAGGAAACATCATTTTTGAGGTAAACGAGAAAAAAACAAGAGTGACAAATTTGACCTTGTGAATATAAGTTTACACCGAAAATCTTCTGTGTATTCATTCAGTGTCATCTGATTTCTCCATTTACATGTTTTCGGTTTTCAGATATTTCGATTTTTAAATTTTCTAGATATTCAGGAATCTAGAAATCTAGAACTTAAATAATCTAGGGCTAATTTATTGCAATTACTCTAATAGAAGCCTGGTGGGCTTAGCCCATCCTACCCCGTTAACTCTGAGCTCAATTATCTCGGTTCTTATGAGAGTTATCAAAAATATGCCAACTAATAAAATAATTATCATAATGTCACCAACATTTTATCAGTTGATGTATTATTGATACCTTTAACAGGAATCGAGATAATTGAGCTCAAAGTTGACGGCTTGGGTGGGCTTCAATCAGGAGAAATTCGGTATCGTTGAATTTTTGAATTTCAGCGCCAACATTTTATGCCATTTTTTTGTTTTCAGTTTCAATTTCAGTTTTTGATCTGTCTCTGTAACTTCATACGTATTTGCTCCATTGTTTTTTTTTCGATTTCTAAATCAACATTAGTTTGGTTTCTGTACTTTTCATAAGAATGACCGAAATTTATATCAATTCCATATTATTAAAAGTTTTTTTTCGAGTTTTTTCTTCTCCCAAAATTGCCAGCACCTGTCTAGAGTTTCCGATTTTTATCTTTCCAGAATGTAGAAATAAATGAATCTCATCGTAAGAGTTCTGGAATCTTGGAATCCGTGAATTACGTACTTGTTCTAGTAGGAGCCCACCCAAACTGTCAACTTTGAGCTCATATATCTCATTTTTTGTGAAAGATATCAAAAATTCTGCCAGGGTGAAATATTGGTGATAATATGATGAATATTTTATCAGTTGACAACTTTTTGATATCTTTCACAGGAAATGAGACATATGGACTCAAAGTTGGCGGTTTGGGTAGTACTCAATTAGAATCTTAACGACGTTTGTATTCACTACACATATTGGAATAAAGAAATTATCGAATTTCAGAATTTCAGGATCTTAGAAACCTAAACTTTCAAAATACCTTTGTAATTATCCATCGGAATGTCAAAAAAGTTGCAGTTTTTGACCTGAATCTGTAAATGCATACGTCTTTGCTCTTCTCTATTTCGAGAGCAATATTTTGTTCTTTCCAGACCAATGACCCACAACTTTCAGTCTTCCCCCAATTTTTCCTTTCTTCCCAACCTTCTTTCCAACCAGTCTTTGAAAATACCACCTGTCCACATGATTTTTTCGCTGTTTTCCACCCAATTCATCTTCCTCTTCTTCTTTCCCTTCCCTCTCCTTTTTACTATGTATTTGTTTGTCTTTCCATTTCTCTCGTTCGTTCTTTGATACTCTATCTTAATGCCTTTTGACATTTTTATTGTGTTTTGTTCCACTTTTTTTGGTTTTTTGTTTGATTTTTTAAGTGAAAGATGGGATCAATTTCCACAAAAACAACAGTGATGATTCAATCTTTCCGAAGTTAGGTATCACTTTGTTTCCTCGATTTTGTGTATTTTGATTTTTTGGATTTAAACCAACTGATTTCCAATTCAAACATTAATTTAATTTGAATTACCAGAGAAAAAAAAACCGGTATAAAAGTTCGCTCACGGGTTCATAATCTGAACTGTGGATTCTTTCAAAAGCACCTCCTTTCTTGTTCATTGGCGGAGAGAGAGGAAACAACACAACAAATGGTTTATCAGTTCTATTATCTTTTTTCTCCTGCGGTGCACTTTTTGATTGTTTTCTGTATTCTTTTGAAATAGTCAATGATCTTTATTTTTTCTTCATTCTTCTGAAAGTTAGTTTTGGTAAAAAGTCTTGTGACATTTTTCGCAGTTTCAGCGTTTTTCAAAGAATTTGAAACAATTATCAAAGTTTAGAAGTGCTTGTTTATCATATTTCCTCTAATAGAAGCCCAGCCAAACCGGCAACTTTGAGCTCAATTATCTCGATTCCTGCGACAGATATCAAAAATGTGTCAATTGATAAAATATTGGTGATAATATGGTGAACATTTTGCTTTGTTAATAGATTTTTGATATCTTTTATAGGAACCGAGATAAATTGGCTCAAAGTTGAAAGTTAAGGGGTGGAGTTCTATTAGAGGAAATACGGTATGTCTAGAAACTTTTTTCCTAGTTTTAAACATATTTTGCATTTACAATTCTATTTTGAAAATAAACCCATAGTAATTCAAAGACTAGAAACACTCTAAAGTCTTACATTCATAGCGAGAAATTTTAGAAAATGTGAATTTCATAAATTTAATTTTATTCAGATTCAGTCTTCAACTTTTAGAAGAATTAAGACCTAAATTTTTGTAATAAATCTACAGTAATCGGAAAACGATTTTAGAAACTCCAGACTTCAAAAATCAAAAATCTCGGAATTCTAAATTCTCAGAATCTTCAAATCAGAGTGCTCTAATTGGCGCCCACACTACGCGTACTTTGAGCTCAACTGTCTCGGTCCCTATGAGAGATATCAGAAACATGTCAACTGATGAAATATTGGTGATATTATGATAAATAATTTATCAGTTAAGAAATTTCTGATACCTCTTATAGGAACCGAGATAATTGCGCTGAAGCGTAATTACCTAATTTCTCTAATAGGAGCCAAGCCTATGCGTGCACTTTAAACTTAATTATCTCGGTTCCTTTGAGATATATCAAAAATTTATCAACTGATAAAATATTGGTGATACTATGATAAACAGTTTAACAATATACAGATTCTGGATATCTCTTATATTAAACGAGATAATTGAGCTCAAAGATGAAGGGTTGAATAGGATTTTATTGGAGGGAATACGGTAAGCGGAATTCTTTATGCTTTCTTCTACTTAATACTACAGTACGTCGGGTACACTTTTATTCTACATCTTTTTATTTTCAATCTCCATGATCCCTGTTCCTGTTTTTCCATTTATTTTTATCTCTGTTTTTCGATCCACCAACTATTGCACCACACCTTGAAAAACGCAACTCTGTGTTGTTTTTCAAAAGGCAACTTGTTTTTGCCACTCGTTCCTTTCTTTCCTCACCCTTTCTCTCCCTCTCTCTCTTTTAATTTTACAATTTTCAATCGGCTCCTACTCTTCTTCTTTTTATCATTTTCTCTTTTCTATTTCTTCAGATTGACCACACCACGCCTGTCCAAAATGTCACGTAGCCGGTGTAGATGTGCACGTCTACATGTGACACGGATTCAGAATTCTGACCATGATCTTCCACAACTTCCCGATGAGATCATTGAGTTCATTGTGTCCAAAGTTCTCCCGACTGAGGTACGGTAGATGAATCTTTTCTAATTTTTAAGTTAGAGTTTTCCAGCTAGTCGCTTTTGGTCTGGACCAAGTGAGTCGTTCATTTGTCACGTTTGTCCACCGTAACCTTTGCTCAAAAACCTACTTCTGTGCTCTACATGATCCACTTTGGGAGCTATATCGGAACACTAGAAACATACATGGTACGGTAGAACGAATTTGACAATACAAATTTATTTAAAAATTTTAGATGCTCAAAAATTCGACAAGTTGATGGTTCTACTGATCAAGAAGTATCTGTGTCAAGTGGAGGATCTGGTACTTCCGGTGACCCTGTTTTCTCATAGTTCGTTTGAAACATACTGTATATAAGAACCGAGAAAATTGAGCTCAAAATTCATTCATATGCTGGCGTTATATTAGGACCTTTACGGTATTTTCAGTTGAAAATGGTCAACTTTGAATGTATAAAAATATCGAAGATCTTGTTGGATGATGCTGAAAATGTACCGGTCTATTGAACGAGAATGAAAAAATTACATAAATCGCACTTACCGTTATCAACTTTGAGCTTAATTATCTCGATGCCTGTGAACGATATTTGAAATTTGTCAATTGATAAATTGTTCATCACAATATCAAAAATATATTATCAGTTTACAAACTGTTGATATCTCTCACAGAAATCGAGAAAATTGAGCCCAAAATTGACGGTTTGAGTGAGCTTCTGTTAGAGCAAACACGTTAGTTTTGACATCTTCAAGTGATTTATCTCATTTGAATGAATTTGTTCAAAAAAGTTGTCAACCACAAAATTGAAGCTCTGTTTTTTTTAGTATACCTGTAATTTTTTTTTGCTTTTTCCATCAAAATCTACTATAGGTTTTTTGACACCCAAAGTGAGCCACTTTCTCTAAAAGGAGCCCACAGAAGCCATCAACTTTAGGCTCAATTATCTCGGCTCCTATCAGAGATACAAAAGTTTTGTCAACTGATAAATTATTTATCTTGAAATCAGCAATGTTTTATCAGTTGACAAATTTTAATATCTTTCAAAGGAACCGAGATAATTTTGCTCAAGAGGACAGTTTGGGTGGGCTTCCTTTAGAGCATTTACGGTCCAAAATGCGCCATTTTCTATCGAAAAAAAAACAAGAATCAGAATTCTCTATTTCTCATTTCATTTGGGGGAAAAATCAATAAAAGATTTCAGTTCAACACCTCCTTGAAGCCAACTCCTATTTGGCTGCAACCAGCGGAACCGCGTGTAGTTTCCGTCATCCTCAACCAGGTGTCGCCCTCACTCATCTCTCAAAACTAACAATTAAAATTGGTGAAGAATGTGGAGGACTCACTTTATCCCATAACTTTGAGAATCTCAAAACGTCATCTTCCCTCTGTAAAACTCTTCACGAAGTGAATTTGGACATTGTCCTATCCGATAATGAAGACGTCACATGTGCGGGATTCCGAGAGTTTTTGAGGTTTTTGAAGGAGATTTCCTGTAAATCTACACTTTGGAACATTCGATTGACTGATAATACGACATCTGGACAAGGGTGGTCTGGACCCGCAAACTTGAATCGGTATCGGAATAAAATGTTCATTTGTTACATCCGAACCATGTTGGATTTATCACTGAAAATCAATCAATTGGAGTTGATGGATAAGAGAAAGGCATCTCCCTATATGTTGGTCATGGCTCCATATAGAAGAACGATTTATATGTTCCCAGAGTTCAAGGTGAGAAACTATTTTTACTGTAAAATCTCTAATAGAAGGGCTCTCTCCTAACTACAGTAATCCCAGAGATGCCGCAACCTGGTCATCTGCTATGATATTGGATTGATCGCCCCGGTGTTCAGCCACGAGAACGATCACTTCGATGACCTTCTGAGTTTTGAGGTAGGCGTACCTAACTGTCAACTTTAAACCCATATATCTCATTTCCTGTGAAAGATATAAAAAATCTGTCAACTGATAAAATGTTGCTCATATTATGATAAACATTTTATCAGTTAATTACAATTTGATATCTTTCACTGAAACCGAGATATATGGGCTCAAAGTTGACGGTTTGAGTGATTAGCGAATTACGGGTTTCGCTCTATTGACCTATTTTTTTAGGTTGACGAATCCCATGTTCTTTACAAAGCTGATCTTCTGGAATATCTGAAATCCGCCCATGAGCTTCGAGAAGTCAAAGTGGTCATTCCTTCAACTTTCCAATCTCGCGTCTCCCGATGTACCGAAGGATGTTTCTCGAATCCAGACTTTGCTTGTTTCCGGTGAGAGACATCTGGACAAACAGAGCCCAACCAATACATGCACTTTGAGCTTAATTATCTCAATTCTTGTTCAAGATATCAAAAAGTGGTTAAATGATAAAATGTTTGTTATATTAGGACAAACATTTTATCAGTTGACATATTTTTGATATCTTTGAAAGGAACCGAGATAGTTGAGCTTAAAGTGCTAGTATAGAGTAACCTTCTATTAGAGTGGTTACGGTAACTAACTTTGGTTTCAAACTTTCAGAGCTGACGGCTGGTGTAGTGTCCCTTCGAAACTTCCTGGTGCTCACTTTGAAATTGTTGCTCGTGCTCCAATCATGGCCTGATCTTAATTGGATTACTGTATAAATGTAAAAAGAGTTCCTGGTAAATCGCTCCCTTTAACTAATTGTTTTGCCCTCTTATATATAAATAACTAAAACAGGTTCAGGCATACACTTTCTATTAGAAAGCTACCGTTCTTTTTTCCTTCTTTTTCCTTTCTGTTCAATTCTTTATTGATGAAAAACCAGTCAGATGATGTTTTTGATGCTTTCTACCTATGGATAATGTAAATAAAACTGTAAATATCTATTTTTAATTGTTAATAAGTTCAATTTTAGTAAAATCAATAAATTAATCTTCACAGTACCCTCCTTCGCTTCGAAGCCAGCCTTAATTTCTCTGCATGTCCCTTTAACCTACTGTAGAGAAAATTGGCGCGACCGCGTTTTTTTCAAAATTAACATATTTTTCATCGACTTTCCGGCTTTTTTGACCAATTCTCTACGAAAAAAAAAGAGATAGCCATCTTCTGTACTGTTTGTAACCTTCTCTTGACTTCGTATTCGTCGCCCCCTACGTCATCATCATTCTCGCTGCCCCCTCTCTCTCCCATCATCAACCCCCACCTATTTTCTATTTTTCTCATTTTTTCATTTCGCTGCTGCTTCGTTTTTTTTTCGAATCTTTTTCTGTATTCCGTGTCAACAAGGCCAGCTGACTTTTCAACTCGGCCAATGCTCTTGCTTTTTGTGTCGTTCTTATTTCTGTTACACTTTCAGTACTGCGTGCAATTTCAATTCAAACGAGAAAGCAAAAGGAATTGTTTGCTCCCGGGGGAAAGAGCTTAACTTGTGCAGCAGCCAGCAAATATACTCATTACCTTTGTTTTAACTTGTAAAAGAGAGTGCGAGTATATCTAGTTTGTTGGGGAAGGCTCAATCGCGGATATCTCTGTCAACGTTTGCTTTTTCTAAATCTTTTAACTGATATCTTATATCAGCTGATGAGGAGTGTTTCAGTTGCAAGTCACGTGCCGATTTTTTTTGTTGATTAGAATTAACGAAATCGCTGCTGTTTAAGCATAATGGGTCTTGCCACGAAAAGCGTTCTACTTCGCCACGTCACTTCGATTCTAGTCTATTTTGGTACTTTATAGTCGACAAAATGTGCTTTACTGTAAACAATTATTTACTAGGTCGTAAATTTTCAAATTTTCCCCGTTTTGAAAGTAGACAATACGAAAATGGAACGTTTCGGAACCTTGAAAAGAATTTTTAGTCATTTCTAGGTTTCTAAAGATTCTATGACATAAAACGCACGTGCAGTTTTGATGAAGGAAAAGGGTTCTAGGCTAGAAAAACTACAAAGTACGGTAGTTGTGACTTTACACTGAATTTTCGACTTTCTGAATATTACTCTAGTCAGACTGTGATGCGGTCGAAAACACACTTGAAAGGCACATCGTTGGTCCTGCAGCGAAAAAGCGATTTTTTTCAAAAAGTGCATACACCTTTAACACCGTATCTCGAGGTACGGTATTAAAGGCGCATTGACTTGTTCTGAAAAACATCGACACTTTGAACCTATTTATCCCAATCTCTATCAGAGATATCAAGAATCTGTTTACTGTGACAAAATCTTTCCGATGTCATGGTAAGTATTTTTTGGGCCCAATATAGTTGAGGTCAAAGAGACTGTCTAGGCGAGATAGCGCCGTTTCTTCTGCCCACAAAGTTCATTAGCCTTCGTCCAATTACGATCGACCTTGGTTGGGGCACAGATTTCATGACTAGAAGTTTCTATTTTCCCCCCTCTCATCATCCAAAATCATCATCATGATAATCGTCAACATATAATTCTTCCCGAGAGTATATTGATGATTGCGGCAGTAGCATTACAATCAGCACCAAAAAAGAAAAAGAAGAAATAACACTCTCCGTCTTCCCAACAGAGGGGAAACCCCCCTCTGATTCCTCACCTATGATGATGATTCCGTTATGTTATCATTATCACATGACAGCATTCTTTCTACTCTCTCTCTCTCTCTCTCTCTCTGTCCGCTTCTCCCCGGGGTTCCCTCTAATCTGTCAGTTGGCGAGTTGGTTAGCGTCCCATTTGACGCCAATTTTCGGATTTTTCAGGTGGGTAAAATAAGGAATTTCAGGCCAATTTTAAAAAAAATCGTTTCAAAAGCGCCAAAGTTCGCAAAAATCAGCGAATTTCGGTACTTTTTTCGCTGAATTTTTTGCAAAAATTCCTGATTTTTTGTTCAAATCGTAGGCTTCAGCTGAATCGCATTGTTTTTAGTACAAGCTCCTTCACCGGGAAATCCGAAAATTGGGGCTAAATTCAAAAAAAAATTGGGTGCAATCGCCAAGAATTCCCTTATCAGAAGACTCCTTTTGTCATTGAAATTTGGGCATCGCCACGTTTTTTTTCCTGCTTTTCCGTATTTGAGACATGTGACTTTGCAAAATACGCACTAATCAATTATTATAATGATTCAAAGAGCGTAGATCATACTTCTCTCTTTCTCTCCCACTATATCACTCGTCCCGTTTTCCTATCAAGGATTGTTGACCATTTCTACCTGGCTGCTGTGTTGTCGTCTTCATCGTCGCCTTCAGAAACAATTTTATCTTTGAGGTCTCGAGTTTTCGTGCAAAGTAAACGGCAAACCGCGCCGATATCTCTAATTTTACCTCAATTTTTGACAAAATTTTTGTCACATGTACACCAGGGGTTCCCCATATAAATGACATGTGACAATCTACTTTTTTTTATTACTTTCTCCTTTTCCAACCACCACCACAACGGCGTAGCGCTGTTCTCATGACGTAATTGGTTGTCTTGATTGGGAGGAAAGTAGTAAGTTGAGAAAAAAGAAAAGAAGAAGACGTCGTTAGGTAGAGCGACACAGTGATTTGAGATGGTGTTCTTTGAGTTCGGACCACTCAATTTTTGATTTTGGCGCAATTTTTTCGGATGACCTAGTTAGAGGAAAACAAGGCGTTTCAGCCAAAAGTTTATCAATAAATATGAACAATTTTCACAATTTTCTAAAAGATTTCGAAAAATTTTCGCTGTTATTTGCGAATTTTTAGTACTTGAATTTTTTAAAAATTGTGAAATTTTTCGTGAAAAAAGTGCTGAAATTTGCGAAAATCAGCGAAATTTTCATTTTTTCCCGAAATTTTCGGTTTTTATCTAATTATAGGTCTGAAAAAAAATGGCGCCAAATTTTGAAATTCCAATGATTTTTGCTGTAATTGTTTCTGAATATTTTGTCTTTTTTTTTTGTTCGAATCGTAGGCTTAGGGTGAAACTCCTTGTTTTTCTTCTACTGGAACACCCGAATTTCGGCGCAAAATTCCGAAAATTTTGTGTGAAAAATGAATTTTTCGTAATTATTTTTTGACCTGTTTTTTTTCGAAATTCCATTGTTTTTATGCAATTTTTGCGATTTGTCGAATTTTTCTGGCAAAAATTTGACGAATCACAAAAATTCGCATGAAATCAATGAAATTCGTCGAAAAATCGAAGAATACATGCTCCTTTTAGGATTCCGCTAAGCTCCGCTTACCCTCAAACTGTGGTCAGTATTTAGGTCAGCTATCTTAGAGTTGGGGTCTAAATTTTAGGCTAAAAACTTTTCAAAATTCAAATTTCCGAAACCATGCCCTCCTCGGAGCGCGATTGCATCTCTCCTTGGTAACATTGAAATGTATACGAGCCTCGCCCAGACATGCAACAGCTCCTGGTTTCTTCACCTCTTCCGTTTCCTTGTCTGCGTCTCTCACTCCCTCTTCTACTTCGAACCCTCTTCTTTTTTTCATCGCTCCTTTTTTTCTCATTGTGTGTAAGTGTCTGGAACCAGTCTCTCTTCCTCTCTCTCTCTCTCTCACCCTAACCCTTTCTCGCCTTCTACTTTTTCTATTTTCACATTGGGGGTGCCCTGTTTGTTCACTTTTCTATAAATTGCAACCTACAATTTTAGAGGGCAGAGTTCCACTAAATATTTATTTAGCGCCCTCCACCCCTCCCCCCCCCCCCCTCATGATCTCCTCGCTTTTCCCCGCTCTCTGGAGTTTTCAAATCCATCAAAAAGTTTCAGATTTCGACTGATATGGATCACAATGTAGCCGCAACCACAACCACCATTCCGAGACTATCACGGATAGCCACCGAACGAGTCGCCGAGTGCATTGAGAATGGTAAAATTCAATTTTCCCGGGTTTTTTCACCTAAAAGCTTCTAGACACTCTACCAGACTTCGATCACCTCCTGGTGGCCTCCAGCAGCAACGACATCTTCGAGGTGTTGCGCCGAAAGAAAAAGCTGAACCATCGAACGCTGAAGACGATGTGCAGCGGTTCGAAATTCCAAATCAATAAAATTGATTTGATGGGAAACAAGGTGGAGTCGGAGGATCTCCTACTGTGCTCCAATCAGAATCTCGTCTCGTTTCGCCTCGGAGACATTGACTATTTTCCTAGTGAGATTTTCAAACTTCTCCCAGTTCTCTTAGGCGCGCTGTGGCTCGCGACGCGGCTGAAATTTTCAAAAATGATGACTTGGCGTGGTGCTTTTTTTTCGCATTTTTTCCAGATCTCTTGGGCGCGTTGCGGCTCGCGACGCGGCTGAAATTTTCAAAAATGATGACGTGGCGCGTTGCGGCTGGCGGCGCGGCTGGGATTTTCGAAGGATTTTCAGAAAGAAAAAATCTTGAAACAATTTTTTTTGCAGACACAAACAAGATTCAAGTGGCAGATGTACTCGACATGGCACTCAACCGAACGTCTCGAAAACAACTCCGGCACCTCGATCTCAGCGGAAAACTGCGAATCACGTCGAGCTGGCCGATGTACGTGGCTAAGAAACTTCCGCGTCTCGAGAGCCTAGCGTTCGCGAACCGAAGCACCGCCAACGACACACTTGCACAAATTGGAGCCAACTTGGGGAACCTACGCTTCCTGGACATTTCAAGCACGTGCGTCACGGATATCTCGTGTATTGCCGGGCTTCAGAATCTGGAAGTTCTTATCATGCACAACTTGAATATTCTGAAAGGAGATGTTACCGAGACTTTATCGAATCTGACGAAGCTTCGAGTGTTGGATATCTCAAGAAAAGTGAACACAGACTTCTTGCAAGAGACATCACAAGATGCGCATCTCGATTTGGCACTGGGCATCTTCAACAGATCCAATGAGGCTATAGAATCTGGAACCGCGACGCCATGGGCTGAATTAAGAGCAATCGACATGTCTGGATTGAGCATTGTGCAGTTTGGAACAGATCGGGCGTTGGCATTCATTGAGAAAATCATTGAAGCTCATCCAAAACTCGAACAGATCAGTTTATTAGCCACACCCCTCGACTCTTCTCTCATCGAAATTCCGAATCGCAACCTGCGAGTGATCAATACAGTATCCCGGAAATCCATCCTGCATGCCCTGGAGCACTACGCAGGACTCGATCGGCCTGCATTCATCACCCACACCCTTCACTCGGTGTACTATCAATTGCAGTCGGGATATGACAAATTCTCGCAAGAAGAGCTCAAAGAGTGTCTGCGTCTTGTGTGCATCGCAATGCAACAGAGTCTGAGCACGCTGCCTGTTCAAATTGCTGGAAGCGCTTGCCTCTACCATCTTTGCAAAATGAAGCGTATAAAGAGATTGTCAGTGAAGGAGGTCATCAACTGCATCGAGAGATCGCTGGATGCCGCAGAGCAGTACCGAACTATGACTCAACTTCAGAAGAACGTGTGGCTTACGATTTGCAACGACTACTTGCTCCACTTGGAAGGTATCGACTTCTACCGGACCTGCAAAGTCGCTCTAGACACAATGCTCTTAAATCGGGATGCCAGTGTTGAGAGAATGACAATAGCCATAGTGTCGATTGTAACGCCGAAAATGCGACCGGCAGAAGCGAAGACGTTGACGACGGAGACGAAGTATGTCTTCCATTTGGTGAAGATCATGAACGACTACCTGGAAGCCTACAATCGCGAATACCGACAAGGCCACGAGCGAGACAACGACAACGCGCTCTACACACTGAAATTCACTTTGAGTGCTCTCTGGAACCTAACTGATGAGTGTCCGTCGACGTGCAAAGCGTTCCTAGATGCTGGAGGCGTTGTGATCGCATTCAAGATTCTTAACGCCTTCGATTATCACGGAACGGTTCAGACAAAGGTGTTGGGGATCTTAAATAATTTGGCAGAGGTGCAGGAGCTCGAATTGGAACAGTTGTGTAAATACGACTACATTGCGACTCTTATGTAAGTTTTGAATTATTTTTTTAAACGAATTTCGCAAGTTCTTCCCATTTTTTGAGCATTAATTTTAGTAATTTGTGTGAAAATTGGAAAAACAAGTTTGCGCGTCGCGGTGCCACTCATGGTGGGTTCGTTGCGAGACCCGCGGCGCCAGAAACACCATGCGCCTTTAATTTTTTTTTCGAATTTCGCGCCTAAAACGCCTTTTTTCTCGTTCCAGTGGAAGGGAAACAAGGCGAATTAGCCTACAATTCGAAATAAAAATTCCAGTCAAAAAAGTGCTGAAATTCTGCGGAAAACGGGAAAATTTCGCCAATTCAAAGGGACAGAAACCATAAAAATCTAAATTTCAGCTCCTGCCTCGACGGAATGTTCGACCAAGTCGACACTAAAGGGCGATACCGCGAAGTGGAGCGATCCTACTTCGCTGCCGGAATCCTCGCCAACCTCCTCACCAACACCACCGGATGGGAGAGCGAGAAGCAGCGGGAGGACGCGTGCGAGCGACTCCTAGAGCTCATCGAACAGTATCCAGTGCTCCCGTCAGCCATGGTTTCCTACAAATCGTTCGTCCCCTTCCGACGAATTGTCCAACAATCCAAGTCGAACGGAGCGATTATGTGGTGTCTGTGGGGTGTACATCATGTGCTGCAGCACCGCGAGAAGAACAATGCGCCGACGTTCAAGCATGGGTGAGTAAACTTGACGAAATTTCTAATTTTAAAAGAAGAAGAGTTTTCAGCTACATCGAAATGTTCCTGACTTCTGGTCTCCACCCGATTGTCGAGGAGATGGCACGTGGCAACTCCCGTCACATTCACAAGATTGACTTGCGCGTCGTTCACCTTGCTCGTCAAATCTCGGAAATCGTCGCTTCAGAATTCCCAACCCGTCACCACGACATCTCACCCAACACATCGCTGACTACACCGGTTATTCTTGCCCCTCGTTCTTAAAAAATTTAGTCACTTTTTTTATTGTTTCCTAAGCTTCTTATATCCTGTGCTTTTTCTCTGAAATCCATCCCATCCGAAACTCTTTACAGGTTTTTTCCCCCAGCCAGATCGAAACCGCATGTTTAATTTCAAGAACGGGTACCCTTTTTTCCATTTATTTTTATCTCCCCTTTCGCAATTAAATTGCACATTTATATATGTATTCGACATATATTTGTTTGTTTGCCTTATCCCTCATCCCTGTAATATGTTTCTAACCTGTAAATGTGATAGTTTCTGTGAATATTGCATCATTGGTTGTTTTCTCTGTGCACTCTCTCTTCTTTGCGTAGTCACTACTCACCCCACTTTTTTTTGCGGGTAGCCCCTCTTCGTTCCGGGAGTTTCGAACCTAGTTTTGTACACTTTGATGAATGTTTCATGAAACAAGAGATCATGCAGTAATAGAAATCATATCACAATGAAAATGTAATAACAAAAAACAAAAAATTAAGGAATTCCCGGCATGTTCAGGTTCTTCCGTCGCTCTTTATCCTCGTACTTCTCCTCTTCAATTACATCTGAACGACTTCTGGGCGGTGCCAACCCGTCGTACCCCCAATATTGGCCGATTCGTCGTGGATCTTCTCCTTGTGGATAGGAAGCAGAAGACGTCGGATGGTGTCGGTCTTCTACGAAACAGTCCTCCTCCATTTTCTCCGTCATTTTGTACACCTCCTTCTCCATGGAAGTCCTCGCGAGCCGCTCGTTCTCCTCGATTTGCTCGATTTCATCCAGTCGAATGCCAACGATCTCTTGCATCTGAACCGACGGAGCGCCACGAATCATTCGCAAGCATTCCAGCGTCTCTTTTTCGATGGAATCCAGATAGGCAGGCGAGTTGGCGTCAGCCATCTTCGGCGTCAACAACGGACGAAGTAGTCGTGGCGAGAAGTAGTGGGAGTAGAGAGAGGACTCTGGGATCTCGTCTTTCATTCGAAGGCCAAGAATCACTCCGGTTTCCAGTGCCCAGCAACGAGCCACGTTGCGGAGAGTGTAGCCACCGCCGCCGAGAACCATCAGCGGTTTTCCGAGACTTTTTACATATTTTACGGCGCGAGCGTGCGCGTTGAATCTGGAAAAAAAATGGAAATTTAGTCAGTCGGTCGGTAGGAGAGAAACTCACGATAGAGCAAACTGTCCGAGACGATCCTCACACAGCGAATCTGATCCACACTGCAGTACAATCGCTTCCGGGTTGAAATTCTCCTCGACACTACTTATAACACTTTCAAACAACTTCACATAAGGCTCATCTCGAATCGCAGCCATTAATGGGAGATTAATAGCAAAGTACTTTCCAGGACCCACTCCTTTATCCATAATACTTCCGGATCCTGGGAAATACTGACCGAATCTATGGAATGATACTGTCATAACTCGATCCGAATTGTTAAACGCTTCCTGGACACCATCTCCATGATGTATGTCAATGTCAATGTACAGTACTCTTTTATGGTACTTCAGTAGCTCTAGAATTCCCAACACAATATCATTAACGTAACAGAATCCGGATGCTTCTGATTTCTTCGCATGATGAAGTCCGCCAGGCCAATTGATAACGATGTCGTTCATCTTATGATTCAACCGTCTTGCACCCTCCACTGATCCACCCGAATACAGTGTACAGTAGTCCCAAAGGCCAGCGAATAACGGGCAATCCTCGCCGATGTTGAACTTTCGAAGCACGTCGTCTTGCATCGTCGTCGCGAGTTTCGGAGTGACGGTTTGAAGGAAATTGACATAGTCTTGGGAGTGAAACGCGGCGATGTCGGATGCTTCGAGTTTCGGCGATTGAACGACTGTCATGTATCGAGGCATTTCGTATGAGGCGACCAGATCGTTGCATACCACTAGCCGTTGCGGTTTCATCGGATGAAGTTGACCTGGAAATTTGGCTTTAATTCAAATCTCCCAGCTGGCGACCGCTACGCCGACACGCGACCCGTTCAAAATTGTAGGTGACCCTCGAATTTTTACGTGGAAATTTCGAATTTCCACGTGAAGCGTCCAATAGAAATTCACGTTTTCACGTTCAGTCTGTTGATTTTTCACGCAAAAACATTCAATTTTCCACGTAAATCCACGTATAGCGACCGCTACGCCGACACGCGACGCGTTCAAAATTCTATTTTTTTTTTCGGTCAAAACGAACCATAGTGGAAATGTCCGACGTCTGGATGATAGTAATAGGCGACGTTACGCTTCCGCACATCATCCCCATCGTATACAATGTCCTCGTCGTCGCTGTCGTACAGCGAGATTGGTCTCTCGCAGGCCATTCTTTAAATTTTTGTTTTTTTTTTGGATTTCTCGTTCTCAATTAGCAAAAGTATACGTCTTCGGCTAGAGAACCTAATTAAGCACCTAATTTTGGCTAAAGCAGATATTATTGAAAATTGAGATTTTATTGAATTAAAAAGGGTGTGGGAGGCTTCGGCGCAGTGTCGAGGAAGAAGATTGAGATGGAAATATGTTGGGAGACTGATGGAGGACATAGAAAAAATTCAGGAGATAAGGCAGAAAAAAAACAATCATATTTTTTAAACATAAAATAACGGAGGATAAAGAGAGATTTAGTGGGTGTCGACCGCGTTTTAGAGTATATTTTGAATACAGAGACAAGTGTTAGAGAGCCACGGAATAGACACAAAAAGAAAAATAAAGGAGCATCAGAGAGAGAGAGAGAGTGAGGGAGAAGAAGAGAGAACGAGAGAATGAAGTAAATGACCCGTGCATGTTCCGAAGATTTTTGTCGTTTTTTTCACCAAATAGTATGAGTGCTTATAGATAGGACAGATAAATTAGGAGTGGGCGGAGACTTGAAGATTTCCCTCATAGAATAGTACAAAGTAGAGATGATGACCGGTGTGTGGTTTAGTGCACAGCCCGCTACGCACACACGAAACAAGTGAATAATTAATTTTAAAAAAGAGGTAATTAAGTCCACACAACGGGGAGCAATGATAAAGACAAACAATGCGAATATCAAGAGATATAGATATGAAGAAAAAAAATCAATAGTTCTAATTTCCAGCGCCAGCGCGGAGAGGTGTCGTTTGAACCAACGGTGACGGTTGGGTGGGAAGATGTTGAATTGGCTGGTGTCGGGCGGCGAATGACGTAGATGGCTGGAAAAATTACTTTCAGAATTTTTTAAATAAACTTGCGCTTCAGAGTCTGAAGCTCAGACAAACCTTATCAGAAGACGTGGAAGGTCCCAAAGATGAGAAATTCAACATCCTATTCACTGGAGCCACTGGTTTGGGAACTGGTTTTCGGAATGGCTCCTCCGTCAATTGTGTAGTCGGCGAATCAGGAATCGGCGGCAGCTGAGACGAACTTCCAGCCATTGAAGACAACGATGCGGATGATGGAGCCTGCGATAATGACTTTTGGGATTCCTCCTCTGCAGCTGGCGCTTGATGCAACTCTGATAGCAATTGGGAGAGAGCATGCGAGCTTTCTAGCTTGGATAATGCCAACCAGCTGATGTGCGACTCGTGACGTCGAAGCTTCTGTCGCCCATCAGATGAATATCTCGCCAGGTTTCTGAGAATCAAACAACTCGTCAATCGAATACTCTTCGTCACTGGACCTTCGGCTTCATCCGGAAGTTCTCGAGTCAAAAAGTTGAAGGCGTGTCTTCGGATAGCTTCGTTAGCAGCGTTCGTAGCGTATCCCGGATGATTGTTCAAATCGCGTGGAATGATTTCCGATCGTCGTACGGTAGGAATCACAACCCCGTCTTTTCTCCGTTGTGCCGCCTGTTTTAACTGTGTCTCGTTGCAATGCACATCCTGGATATGGGTGATAAGGGACCAGCGATTACGAGGCGTTGGGTCAGCGCAGCCATTCCAGCGGCACAGTACACGAAGCTCCTCTGCCACGTGTTCTTCGGATAAGTGCTTGAGGACGTGGGAAGGAGAGAAGTAGTACAGGGAGCAGCAATCCCAATCGCACATGTAGTCAGTTGGTGTCGAGCAGACAGGAACACATTTACGATCTGACTGTGGCTCTGCTGTGACGGCTTCTTTTGGCTTGTCTTCCTCTACTGGCTCCTTTGGCGATTCCTTTTGAGCTTCTACTTCTTTTTGCGCTTCTTCTTCTCCTTCTTCTGCTTTCTGGGCGTCTTTTTCCTTTTCCTCCTTCCTAACCAAGTTTCCATTGCTCTCTGTGACACCATTCATCTTCTCCAGGTCACCGTTACAGGCAGCGGCGACTGCAACAATATGAGCAGCTCGACTGGCTACCGTATCCTTTTTCGGCGCCTTTGTGTGTCCATTGCAAATGATTCCGTTGATTTTCTCCTTGTCTTTTTCCTTGTCTTTCTCTACTACCTCCAGTTTGACAGCGTCGGATTCGTTCTGGAAAAAAATATTTCACTAATGCTGAGCAGTATTGTGGTCTAGAAATCCAAAATTCGCAAGAGTTAGGCCATTGGATATAAAGAGCAGTGTGTGACAGTCCCAAATCAGTTTTTAGATTTCAAAAATATGGATTTTGAAGCGAGTTATGAAT